ATTGAAAAAGGGTTGACTTGCTGCCTCTTCCTTCCACATTGACCACACCTTAATTATATTGCAGCACAGCCGTGGTCGGCCACGGTCAAAGATTCAAAAAGTCGGCACGGACCGGCTGAGGCCGCAAGCCATCGGATCAAAAGGTTCCACAGTTCGTCTGAATCGAGTTTTCGTGCCACAGTGCCGAATGAGTGTGCATGCGTCCATGCTGCTGCAGCGCGTGGCGACCTGCATGCACAAAAGTGCCAACGTCGCGTAAGCGAGAGTGCGTGCGTGCCTGACCTACTGTTTTCTCCCGCTATATCAGCATGTTCGATTGGCTGGTTCGTTTCGTTACTGATTCGTAAAAAAATACTGCTGACTAATTTGTGTGAGAAAAAAATACTGTTCCGACTGAAAATTTATTATCGCTTACGATAAGCCATAGCGAAAGGGGATATATCGCCCGTGCTGTCGACCACTGTGACCCTACTGGGCCCTGCCGGAAACAGCGTCTTTGACCAGACCCCTAGCTAATCCTGTCGAGTCAGTGTCAAGCACAGGGAGGGAGACGACGGCGTAACAGTGGCGATTAACAGCTGCTAGCTAGCGCTCGAGATGCGTGTACCAAGGGCGAGTCCTTCGTTGGTCACGTCAGTGTCAACCTTTTTTAGATCGTTTGCGAGGAACGGTCTTGTCAGGGCAGGTACATTGCTACCGTAAGCCGTTCATGCAGTGTCCATAGGATTTTTCTTATATAAAGGAAAAAGAGAGGAGAGCCATAAGACAACTATTCATCCATTATGAGTTATCGCTGGCATACAATTCACAATATTATTTTTATTCTATGTATAAATTAAGAAATTATAAGTTACTATGAGATAATTTAAAAAACAACTATTATATAAGTTGCTGGCATACAATTTACAATATTATTTTTTATTCTATGTATAAATTAAGAAACTATAAGTTACTAGGAGATAATTTAAGAAACAACTATTATATAAGTTGTCTATTAAGTTCACCCACGAGAAAAGACCAATGTACTTGCTTTAGCCTCGTGGGCAGGGCACACACATACACGCTTGCTGTCACGCGGGCGGAACAGCGAGCGAGCAATGCGGCCTCGGCTGCAATGCAATTCGTTGAGCCACTGCCATATCCATGCAGATCGGGCCTACGTGTCTCTTGGAACGAGGTACGTAGCTGGTGCGGTGAGCCCGTGGAGACCTCAGACCTGGCTATCAGTGCTGCAAGAACAGGCATTGCACGCCCAGATCTGACCACAGGCTTGCATTGGGGTATAGGTCTGTTGTGCCAGCTGGCGGGTGTGTACGTGTGGGATCAATGGGTTTACCAGTAATTTGGGGGAAGAAATGACCTGCACGCAGCTTCTTCTTCTGATCAGGTCTGTTTCGTGAGATGTTTGCTGGGGCCCTGCTGCATTGCTCTGTTGGTTGCCGCGCGCTCCTGCAAAAAGTTCACGATTGAAAGTGGACGCACTACTGATCCATTAACCCGTCCACAAAAGGTTACACGGCCTGGGTGCACCATCGCAAACAAGGCCACCTTTGAATCTGAATCGCATGAAAAACGAAAAAAAAAATCATAGGGATTAGATTAATTCCTATAGATAATTATGATACTTCCTTTGATTCATATATATAGGATTAGGGTGAAGCAATAAAACAGGAAACTATCCTTTGCCATCAATTTCTGATGAAAAGTACAAAAACAAAAGAATCCACTCTGGTTTTACATACGCATTAACATATCCTATGTTTTAAAATGCATTTTCAGATCATTGAGCTTGTCATGGGTTGTCGTTTAGGTCCAAACTCTTAGAATGCCGTTCTAGGTCACCGCATTTGTTTGAGTTTTATCAGGTCCGGAAACTTGCCATATGGTGTCATATCCAGGTCCAATTGCCTTGACACAGGGTTCAAACCTTAACCAACGGATCTCACGAGAGCTTAGTGCCTACATGTAAGTCTCTGGCACTCCATCTCAATGCTTTCTCTGCCTCCCTCTCTCCTACTCCAAGCAAGTCGACGGTGTGGACACCCTTGTTGAGCTATGGCAGGAGGTCGCAAGGGAAGAGTGCATGCATGCGACCATCCCCATCGAGTTGTCACAATAGGTTGTCAACACAACGCACTCAGTGGCAAGATCCCTACCATGAGAAGTTAATTGTGAAATCTATACCTCAATCCTTGACTGGGGTGGGGGACTCGACAATAAAGTAGTGATCCGCCTAGGGAGCACCCACCTCCACTAGAACATCGCGGCCTCTAAGGCCGTGTTTAGATGCCAAATTTTTTTGGTTTTGGGTACTGTAGCCTATTTGTTTGTATTTAGCAATTAGTGTCTAATTATGGACTAATTAGGTTCGAAAGTTTCGTCTCGCGATTTTTCACCCAACTGTGTAATTTTTTTTTTCGTCTATATTTAGTACTCCATGCATGTGCCGTAAGATTCGATGTGATGGGTACTGCGCAAAATTTTTTGGAATCTAGACAGGCCCTAAGGTGGATTGTACAAGAAGGCAGAAGAGGTTGGGATGGCGACAACAATATGCTGTTGTCTAGCTCCACTAGAACATCGTCGTCGTCTTCCTTTCTTGCAGCAAGAGTGAGTGAGCAGAGGTTGGGATGGCGACAACAATATGCTGTTGTCAACACAACAGCATAGCTCCACTAGAACATCGTCGTCGTCTTCCTTTCTTGCAGCAAGAGTGAGTGAGCCCTTGTTTAGTTCCCACTTCAAAACTTTACACCATGTCACATTCAACGTTTGAACACATGCATAGAGTATTAAATATAGACTAAAAATAACTAATTGCACAGTTTACGACTAATTAGCGAGACGAATCTTTTAAACCTAATTAGTCCATAATTTAATAATAAAGTGCTACAGCAACCCATATGTTAATGATGAATTAATTAGGCTTAATAAATTCGTCTACGATGGATTCTGTAATTTGGTTTTTATTACTATCCGATGTGACAAAAGCTCGGTGCGCGACAGACAGAGTCCACTACTCCGGCGAAGCTGCCATAAATGTGTGAGCTGGGAGAGGTCGCGCAAAGCAAGTCCACGACGAGCAGCCATGAATGCAAAGCCGCGTCGGCTTGGCATAGGAGAATTGAAGGCCGGGGCGAGGAAGAGTAATAAAAGTGGAAAGGCCACAGGAAGCGACGAAGCGTGGAGTGCTGCACTGCTGCTAGTAAATGGCAATGGCAATGTCACCAAGCGCGACGGAGATGGCGCAGGCAGTGCCACGGCCTGGCGGGGGCTGCATGACATGCATGCGCTAGCAGCTGCCCTCCCATGCCGTCACCTTCGGCCTTCGTGTCACGACAACCTTAACAAGGCTCGCGAAACGGGGGGAGGAGTTTAATGCGGATGGACCTCTCTCTCGCTCGCGTTGCAAGTGCATTGATGAACCAAGCTGAAGAGGCCAAAAAGACAATCGAAGAACACATCATCATGTGTACAGTACATAGTGCATTAATTTGTACGAGTACACGATGCATGCATGGATCAAAGTAAAAAAGAAATATGAGGGGAGACTTTAACATGCGGCAGTATAGTTCACGCTCCACTGCAGACCATGGTAAAAGTAACTTAAACCTCTACAGTGTGATTTGGAAATGTAAAGCAAGTCGCAAGCAGACTACACACACAACCCCTCCATGGCTTGAGCAAGAACAAGCAATGGAGGACTAGTAGGTGGCAAGGAGTTCGAGGAGAAGACAAAGCAAGGAAGAGTATAGAGAATGGAACAGTGACCTACATATATACTCCTATCTTCTTTAGGCGCGGCATGCAGCATCTAAACTAGTAGGAACCGAACCATGAGCAAAATTATCATCAGCTGAGCTGATCCCGGCGAGAAGGTCCCATCCACAAAAAATATAGCACGAGCACGACATACCACGCACAGAATGAGCCTAGGTTATTTCCCACCCTAAAACTTTACATCCTGTCATATCGAATGTTGGACACAGACTATTAAATATAGACTAAAAATAACTAATTACACGGTTTGCGACTAATTTACGAGTCGAATCTGTTAAGCCTAATTAGTCCATAATTTAACAATAAAGTGCTACAGTGACATATGTGCTAATGTCGAATTAATTAGACTTAATAAATTCGTCTTGTGGTTTACCGATGGATTCTGTAATTTATTTTTTTATTCGTATCCGAATCCCTGTACGACACCCATATAATATCTGATGTGACACCTCGAAACTTTAAAATTGAAAGGCCGAGGCCTTGTTTAGATGGTGATTTTTTTTTGAAAAAATTGTACTATAGCACTTTCGTTGGTATTTGACAATTAGTGTCCAATTATAGTCTAATTAGGCTTAAAAGATTCGTCTCATGAATTTCGTCTAAACTGTGTAGTTAGTTTTATTTTTTATTTATATTTAATACTTCGTGAATACGTCAAAGATTCGATGTGACGGAAAATCTTGAAAAATTTTGTAAAATTTTAGAAACTAAACAGGCACTGAATCTCAACCAGGCCTGAGTGACAGAATCCATGCAGCCCCAGTCCCCAGATACACTTGTTCGCCGGCAGCAGATCCATGGATCGGCTGCGCGTCGCAAGACCAAGTACATTTCCTTCCCACCAATGAAGAAGAATACTCCAAGAACCAAGCAAACCGGCAAATGGCCATGCCGCAGGAATTAATAATAATAAACAACACCAGCAAGTACGGTTAAATGAGAAATAAAAGAACCGCCTAATAAAGCCGAGAAGAAGATCGACGGAGCAGCAGCTCGCTACGATGAGTTACTGCAACTAACCTACGCCGCCACGAAGGCGCCGGAGCCGAATGCTAACAAAGAAGATGATGCAGGTACCTCCGGAGACGGATCTGGCCACGGCCACCGGCGATCGATCCACCGCGCGCTCGTGTGGCTTTTCTTCGTCCTGGTACGTCGTAGTACTCCTACATGCGTTCGGGGGTTCAGTGACCGACCCTGATGGATGCTGCTGCTACGGGCTACGGCTTCTTGCCGAGGGTGTGCTTGTTGTTGTGCATCCACACCTTGAGCACGTGGCGCTTGACGCAGACCTCGTCGCAGAACTGCTGCACGGCGGCCTCGTCGTGCTTCTGGATGCGCCACCCGACGCGCTCCGCGAACGCCAGCATCTTGTCCTTCTGCTCCTGGGTGAACTTTGTGCGGAACCGCTTCTTGCCGGACCCGGACCCGCCCGAGCCGCCAGAGGGCCCGGCACCCCCGCCGCCGCCGAGGGACATGCCGCTCAGCGTCAGCGGCCCCACCGCCGACATGGGCCCGGCGGCCATCCCGGACAGGGACAGGTCGTCGCCGTCGTCGCGCCAGCTGTGGGGGGACGTGGACGGCAGCGCCAGCGGCCGCGGCGTGTGCGCCATGTGGTGGAGCGGCTGGTGGTGGTGGTGGAAGTACCCGGCCCCGGCCGGGGTGCGGTAGTACGGGGAGAAGTGGTGGTGCTGCGGCGTGGCGCCGTAGGCGACCAGCGCAGCGGGGGAGCCCTCGGTGGCGGGGGACTCCTTGCGGTGGAAGTTGCGGTGGCAGTTGCACGCGGCGCAGCGGAGTGCGTCCAGCGTGCCTTCCTCGCCGGCGGGCATGAACTCGCCGCACCCGTCCACGGCGTGGCCCCCGATGCCGACGGCGTGGTTCTTGAGGCACTCGCGGTACCTCCCGCCGGCGCCGCCGTGGAGGCCAAGGCCGCCGCTCGGGGCCTTGGCGCGGCCGCCGCCGGGCTCGCCGGGCGGCTTGGGCGCCGCCACGCCGCCACCAAACCCACCTGCCACTGCCAGAGGCGGGGCCTCGTAGCTGGAGCTCACCGGCATCGGCGCCATCTCCTCCTCGTCGCCATCGTCGTGGTCGTCGAAGTCCATGGCCGTCGTCGATCAGCTAGCCGCGACCGGCCGGCGGCGGCAGGTGTTTCTTTCGCCTGGCCTGTGTGTAGTGTGTTCTCTTCTCGAGTTATGGCAGGGCGAAGCTAAGAGGGGCTTAGCAAGGTTAAGAGCGGGATGAAGAGATAAGAGAGAGTGTGGACACCGTCTGGCTGCCAGTTTTGACGCGCCGCTGTGCCGCAGGCAGGAAGGCTGCAAGCCGCTGCCGTAGCCGTAGCTGCTAGTGCTGCTGCCTTGGCGTTGGTGACGGTGTAGTGTAGTGTAGCTAACAACAATAGTAACTGCTCACTTTCTCTCTCCCGCGCAGCCCGTTCCTTCACCGCATCCCTCATCGAGTCGACCACTACCAGGGTTGGCCGAGCGAGCCGCGGTGAGATTATATGCAGTTCTTCCGCGTCACCGCCGGGTCGCGCTCATGTCTTTCGGTGCATGCTTGTCACTCTCCCGGCTGCTCTTTTCAAGTGGTTTGGCTCCAAGCCTCCAATGCCTTTTAAATTGCGGTTTAGAATATGTGATCGTGACACCCGGTCTTTCTTTTCTCGCGCCTTTTTTTCTCTCGAATCCGGCAACTTCTTTGCCTTTTTTTTTTAAATTACACGGCACACTCACCCCTGTAAACACACGTATACAAACCCCACCTCTATGAGCACCATCGAAGGACTGAGCCGACAAATCTTAAAATTCACGAAGTCATCACTGGCGTCTCGCTGTTTACGGAAACGTCGCATACCACTGAAAGCATAGCGCTCGTTAAATTCTAGAATAAATTCAGAAAAATACAAATACCCGTGCCAACTCGAGAACTTAAACCCAGATGGACAGGTTCCATCACAAGAAATCTAACCATCTGATCTACAATCAAAGACATTTGCGGTCATAGGCCCTGTTCATTTCTCTTATAATCCGTACTTTTTAGCTTATTTTTTTCAGTTAGAACCGTGTTATTCTCTCACGACGAATCAGTCGGAACAGTGTTTCAATTTGTTTTTTTTTTTGGTTGAAGAAAACGGGCCATATTCACATGGTCCAGTACGGTTTCTTGGTCATGTACATACTTGACCTGCAAAGTGTGGAACCTGTCGTCTATAAATGAGTGCTCCTGTATTTGGCCCATCGAGCCCAGACGCTGCGTACGTGCAGTATACACACTGAGCACATATCCAGGTGTAGTGACGTCAAACCCGTGTTGTTTTCAGGTCACGTCATCACAGTACAAAATTGTGGGTGCCTTTTGTGTTTGGTAAGTGGGTATCGATTCCCAACTAGCTAAGCGCTTTTCATTAGCTACGATTATTCATGCGATATGATTCCGCTCCATGCTCTCTACGATGAAATCAAATCAAATCTAGCTGCTAGACACCGCATCAAGTCGTTGATCGGCTGTTTCCAGTTGAAGTGATGTAAGCAGCATGCATTAGTCTTTTCCACAGGATCGCACTGTGGGACATGTGACAGCATGTCAGAAGTTTTTGTTAGTAGGAGTAGTAGTATTAAAGTAGCAGTCAAAGCTAGATTCAGATATTAAAATGGAATACATCGCTAGGCGAAGTGTTTATTGCTTATACTAGTTTAGGCCCTATTTTATCAATCGTCTGTTACGTTATAAAATGCCAGAGCTGATGGTTCTAAAAATACTAGGTACCTTAATCGTTTGTACTGTACTGTTGATAAAATAGATAAAACCAAACTTTCCTATAACAAACAGTTTTTACTATGTACTCCCTACGTCCTACAATAGATGTTATTCTCGTTCTCGAAGAAACCGAACGCTTTTCCTTTGGTCAAATATATAGTCCATAGTTAGTATCATTAGATAAATTATTGAATATACTTTTGTAATAAATATTTATTTAAAGATATAAATATTGCTATTATTTTTTTATATAAATTTATTTAATTTTAGAAAAAGTTTGACCGATATTAATACACTTCATCTGGGACGGATGAAATACGAGGTACTAGCAGTATTTATGAATTGGTAGTCGGAGGTACATGTTTTTCATGAGGTGTACCATGAATGAAAGCAAAAGATCCACGTCGGGTCAAATATATAGTCCAACTGCTGGTTATCTGTTAGAAATTTTGGTTGTCACGACTTTGTCCGGCTTCGACTCTCTTGCTACGGTGTAAGAGGTGCCGGAGCTGACGGTGCTAAAAATTCTAGCTACATTAGTCGTTTGTAGTTTATTTTTGGTAAAACAGATAAAACCATTTTTTTGCTATAACATACAGTAACTTTACAGTGTACGAAAAACTCAGCTAAAGCTCCACCGGCTACCTGGAGGAGTACTGCACGAAGAAAGACAGCATGAATTAGTAGTCGGAGATACTTGCATGTTTTTCATGAGGTGTACCACGTCGGGTCAACTCTCCCGCAAGCGGAGCTGCGGAAGGGACTCGAAACCGACCACGCGACCGTGCAACCATTCACACAGTGTTTTAATTTTTTTTTTCAGTCTCCGTCGCGCCCAGGGGATCGTCCGGATGCAAAAGGCATCGGAAATGGCAACAGATGGGCTACCTCTCTAGCAGTCTAGCTACACATGACATGACCACCCTACTACGTACTGTGCAGTGCATATTCGCGGATCCATCTATCTGGTCCCCCAGGGGCGGCCCGGCCCGGGTGATGACGCAAATCCTCTCGGATCAACCGCAACCACGCCCGCCATCAATGCAAACCTCGTCCGGCTCCCGTCTGAACATCATCCTGCATTGACGACGATGCCGCGCGCCTAACAATCTAGCCAAGTCTTATGACATGTACATGGACCGTGCATGCTGGTGATGATCCACGCGTGGCGAAGCGAAACCTGACCACTTTGCCTGCCTGCCGCTTAACAATCAGGATCGTCGGACGGACGGTCTACAATCGCGGCCGCGTCGGCGCCGCCCTACTAGCTAATCGCACGGCCGCCGTCGTATAACAGTCCAGCGGCCCGGGCGTTTGTCCCATCCTGGGTGGCGCATGTCACGCGCGCGGCGACCTGGCCTCCAAGGATAGCTAGGGGCCAGCCTCGGTGGCTCCGTCCCGCAGCCAGCGGCCTTGGGCTGGTGGTTCGCGGCCGGAACACACGTGTTTACGCCTGCGCGCTCGGGCCCTGCATGCGCGGCATGTCTCGCCACTTATGAACCAGCGAACGTCACTGTGCGACCGTTTCTGGAAACACGGCAGCTAGCATCGAAGACGTACGTACACGTTAATTCCGGCGATAACGGGCCGGGGGAAAAAGAAATTGGAGGTGAGCTAGGGACGAAAAGCCGACGACGGGCGTGTGTGGGCGATCGGGCGGAGCGGAATTACTTACGGCCTTGTCTTGGCCTAGGGACTTATCTGGTGCGATAAGTAGGGAGCGGATCAGAGCTTAAGCGCCACAGGCTGCTAATCATTCCCCGACCCCGATGGATCCGCCGGCGGTCACTCTCCATCGACCGAGAGCGGTGGTGGTGCGTGGTCCAGGAGCGGCGTGGAGCCGCCGGTTGCTTTCTGTGGGAGTTTGGATACGACGGTCCGGTCCGGTCGGGCCGTGCGGGATCCGGCACCGGAGATCCAGTCCGATACCTCTTGCCGTTCGTGGGCCTGCACGTGTGTATGTAGTGGCCTGCGCGCTGCCGGCGTACGTGAACCATGCTTGACCCCCGTTGCCCGTTGCTCTGCCAAGATCAGTATCTACATGCCCCAGACTTTACGGTACTACAGCACTTGTGTACGCAACGAAATCTAGATCGACCGGTCAGGACCACAGGAGCTGCTACACGATCCCGTCGTCTCTCCCACGCACGGCCGGCCGGCCGTGAACACATGGGCGGCGGCAGGGGTATGCCCCTGTATGCCAAGGCATACCCAAGATTTGGGAGACAAAATTAATATGTATATATACACACTAATACACAGGTTTATACGTATCTTGTTACATTCCCTCGTAGGCCCAATAGAACAGCCATTTCCTGCAGCCCACGAAGGAAGGCCAGAATACATTTTGCGTGACTCCATCGCCCGGCCACAGCACGAGCACGGAGCACCTCCCACACTCTAGCGACCGGCGCCGCCGGGCAGCACCTCGCCACCTCCCCCACTCTGGCCGACTCGCCCCCTGCCCTCCACCTCGCCGGCTCGCCCGGTCTCCCCATGCGGCCCTGCCCTTTTCCCTGCTGCGGTTTCCTCCTCCCAGGTCCCAGCGCGAAGGAGCTGGCCACTGGCGGCAGCGGCGCCCCTTCTGCAGCACCTTCCGGCGCCCGGCGCCCTCCCCCTTGGCCTCGGCACTCGGCGGCTTCAAGCAAGGTGAGCAGGGAAGATGCAGAACACCCCGGAGCCTAGATCCACTCCTCAGTGGTTCAGTGATATAATGAAAATTCTTTTTCTAATTCTCTTGGTTGTATTCTTAATTTTTGTAATGTAGATGAAGAAGAAGGGTGTTAACATATTTGCATCGTGGGAGAAAGCCACAAAGACAAAGGCAAAGGGGGAAAAACTCCACATCCACACCAAATGCTCATTCTGTTGAGATTGAGAGTAATGGAACGATATGCAGTTAGCACTGTGCCAGCACAGAATGATGGTGAAGCTCCCTAACTTGTGCTAACGCGGAATGATGATTTATTTATGTTTCGAGCTTATACTTTGGTTATTATTATGGATTTGTTTTGGCCATTATAACTTATCGTCTTGTTTAAATTCCTGGCTCCGCCACTGCGTGAACAGGATCACACGCACATCCTCACGCAGCGCCAGATGCTTGTGCAGGGAGCGGCACCGCTGGCCATGCAGAGCCTGAAAAGACGGGTCATGTTTTCGTGCATTGCATGCCATGCGACAAGGACGGAATGGTGCATGCATGCATGGAGACGGATGGAGGCAGCGTGCAGTGCAGCGCGCAGATCAGAGCCAGAGCCCCGCCATGCGTTTGCATCCGTCAGGTGGGCAGGGGGGCAAGCGCGGAAGGCAACAAAAGCGCGGCACATACCATTGGCGCGGACTCGTA